ACAAAAAAGTCAATTATTATAAGAGTATAAACTATTAATTGATATAATTAATTTTAGATTCTACATACAACCAAACTTTTTATTCATTTATTTTTGCAGTACTGGGAATTGAACCCTGGGCCTTCACAGTGAGCTATATCTCCAGCCCTTTTTTATTTTGAGACAGGCTCTTGCTACATTTCCTGAGCTGGGCTCAAATTTACAATCCTCCTGCCTCAGCCTCCAAGAATGCTGGGATCACAGTTATGTGCACCACCATGCTTGAGTTGTTCTTGCTTTAAAACTAGTTCTGACCTCAAAACATGCTGTAAGCGCTGGGAGTATAGCTATGCACAAGGCCCTGGATTTGATTCCCCAGCCTTGCAAAAAACAAAACAAAAAGATATAATGTAATTTCCAAGACTTATGCTTGCTTGAGCTAATACCAAAGAAAGAAAATCTAAGGAAAGAAAGGGTAATCAGGTTTTAGAATTCCTGTGGCTGAATCAGTCACTTCATAGCTCTCTTTACCAACATTCTGTATATTTGAATTAAAATGAGTAAAAATAGTAATTCAATAACTCATCACCAGCATCCTAAAGTGAAGGAGAGGCAAGAATAGGCTGGTTTTATAGCTATGAGCCTAAGGGAGTTTTTGTTTTGTTTTGTTTTTAGCAGATCTAAGCTGAACTCCTTTTCTTCAGTCTGAATGTCTGGGGAAAATTACAAGTCTTGTCTTTCTCATTGACTGCTCTATGCCCAGCACCTAACATCTAAGGCACTGCTTGTCACATATTAAGCACGCAGTAAAGGTTGAAGTCAGTAAAATCAAACTCCTTTTATTTTATTACAGAAGTCAGACTCTGCCTCCTAATTGGCAGGGACTAAAGCAATTCAGGGTTTAAGAGATGAACAAGAAAAATAAGAGGTTTTCAAAAAATTAGGAAATTGTGCCAGGCATGGTAGCACTTGCCTGTAATCCCAGTGATTTGAAGGCTGAGGCAGGAGGATCACCTCAAGTTCATTGTCAGTCTAGGCTACATAATGAGTTCAAGGCCAGGCTGAATTACACAGCAAAACCCTGTCTCACACACACAGAAAAATAAATAAGGAAACTGCAGGAATGTATGGGCAAGAGAGAATAGCCGTTGCATCTGTTATCTGCCATGCTTAACAAATCATCTCGAATCTTAAAACTTAGAACAATTATTTTATTATCTGACAATTATGATTTTATTGTTTTGTGTCTTTTGTTTTGCTTTTTCGTTTTTTCTCTATTATATCTCACAATTGTGAGATTTGTCTAGACTCGTGTTTGGGGCTCTCAGGCAATTGCAGCCTCTTCAGTGGGTCTCCTTACCTGTTTTTAAGTTTGTACAGCCACAGAGTGATCTTTAAAACCCTATCATATTGTGTTCTTTGCTCAGCAATTTCTGGTTGCTTTTTTTAACCCATTCACAGCAAAATTCAAAGTCCTTACAACAGCCTACAAACCACGTAAGATTTGAATTCTCCATTCTTTCCCCATTGCCTTTCTGACCTCTGCCTTTATTCATTCCCCCACTAGCTTACTTCATTTCAGTCTCACTGGCCTCCTTGTTTTTTATTTTTGTATTTTGTATTTTTGCGGTACCGGGGATCGAATTCAAGACCTTGCGCTTGCGAAGCAGGCGCGGCGCCACTGAGCTAAATCCCCGGCCCTATTGTTATTGTTTTGAAAATGCAGTCTCCTTCAGGACCTTTGCATCTGATGGCTAATCTGTTTGGAAGGCTCTTACCCAAGAACCACTAGGCACTCTTCAAACCATTGCTCAGAGCTTGTCATTGTGATGCACACCTGTAATCCTAGCACTCGGGAGGCTGAGGCAGAAGGAACGTGAGTTCCAGGTCAGCCTGGACTACTTAGTGAAATCTCGTCTCAAAACAAAAACGAAAACATTGTTCAGTGTCACCTGCTCAGTGAGGCCTTAACCCCTCCCTTACTGTTTGAAAGACAAAGTTGGCAGGAGTGGCCATGTTTGATGTTTTATACGTAGGAAGCTCTGCTAATTCCTGGTCTGCAAGGGGATTGTGTAATTTTTTTTTTCACAGGCTAACCAGAAGGAGCTTTATTTTCAGAGAGGCAGTTGCGGCCAGGTCCTGGAATGGAAACTTCTGAGGGAAGGGGCTGTGACTTGTTCTGTCTCTATATCTAATACCCTGCACTGGAGAAACACTCAGTAGGCGTTGGTGATTTGTGAATGTACAAAGTATCATAGTTGGCAAAACCCCAATCCCTAGTATCCGACAGGAGACTGGAGGGCTCCTCAGCCGCCTTGTTTCCGCCCGGCCCAGCCCGGTCCGGCCCGCTGCGCGCGCTTGCCTTCTGTCATCTGTCGTTCGGCATTCGTCCCTTCTCAGCGTGTCTGACCCGCGCATCCCATCGATCCGTTCGGCTATCCCGCGCCTGCGCCTTTGGGCTGTCAGTCTGAGGCGGCGTGGAGGGCGCTGGGAGCTTGGCGACCCGCAGGGAGCTGAGGTGAAGCTGTGGCTTCTGTCTGGCAGGCCGCGCGCGAGCTGGCTGATTCAGGTGAGCAGCGCGGTGGGCGCTGGAGGGCCCTCTGCTACTGAGGGAGGCGAGCTCGCAGAGTTGGGCCGAGGTGGACCCTAGAGAATAAGCGAGGATGCTGAACCCTGAAGTTGCCAGCTCGAGTCCCTGCTCTACCCGGCCGTGGGAGCCCAAGCGTCCGAATTGGAAGGGAAACTGGGAAGAATCGATCTGACTACCCTGTGCAGCAGATGGAGAAATTTGAGTTTCGGGGAGGGGAGGTTCTTCTCGAAGTCAGAGCCATTGAGCACCAAACTTGGCACCAGACGCCTTTAGCACGGTGCCCGCACTCTTCCCACCCCTCACTTCTTCACTCATTTATCAAATCTACCTTTAGTTGTTTGGCCATAAAGCAGTGAAATAACAAGGAGAAACACAATTAGGTGCCTTCTTTCAGGCGTCCTCAGTGAGACGCCGTGGTTAGGTTTACCTATTTACAACTGGACAAGGGACTGAGTGCCGCGAGGCACTTAGGAGAACCATGAGCACCTCTCTGAAGCTTGGAAGCCTAGCTCATTGCTTTGATTCGCATCACCCAGAGTCATGGCATTAACATTGACACGTTTGACAGTCTGTCTGGTATCATGGTTAGTTACGTTCATAACAATTCTTGCTTCCTAGGTTGCCTTCTTCACCTAGAGACTCATTTAGGCAGGAACCTCAGACCCTAGCCACCTGGGTTCTGATGGCTCTCTGGACATCTTTGAGCTTGATTCTTTCATGGGCTGTTGGGAGATTCACAGATTCTCATTCCACAAACACCAAGTACATCACATCTGACTAGGAGTATAGTGATGATAGCATATAGCCTCTGCCTTCAGTGGGCATTGAGAATCACACTTAGACATTTAAACATGTATATGCAACATGATAAATGGAAGCACATAGGGAAAAGGAGTCCATCCTGCAGAAATGTGGGAAGAGCTAGGAAAGGTTTGGTAGCCAAGATGATTTTGGGGGGCCATATTGAGGGATTGATTGAACCCAGGATCTTCACAACGAGCTGCATCCCCAGTCCTTTTGAAATTTTGCACACACACACACACACACACACACACACAGTATTTTGAGACAGGGTTTTGCTGAGTTGCTAAATTGCTCAGGCTGAGGTTGAACTTGATCCTCCTGCCTCCGTGTCCCAGAGTGCTGGTATTACAGGAATGGGCCACCATACCTAGTGGCAAGATGATTCTTGAGCTGAGTCTTAAAGTTTAATAATTGATTACTAGGCACAGGAGAAAGGCAACCTAGGAATCAAGGATAGTGTACAGCTGGGCATGGTATATGCACCTATACTTCCAGCTACTTCAAATGCTGAGGCAGGAGGATCACTGGAGCACAGGAGTTTGAGGTTATAGTGCGCTATGCCCAGAGGCTGTCTGTGCTAAATTCAACGTGGATATGGTGCTCCCAAGGAGCAAGTTACCACCATGCTGCATGTGCTGATCAGTGGGGTCATGGCTATGAATAGCCACTGCACTTCAGCCTGGGCAACTCTGTGAAACTCTTATTCTCTTTTTTTATTTATTTTTTTACAAGCAAGCCATGTAGTCCATGCTAGCCATGAACTTACTGTGTAGCCCAAGCTGGCCTTGAACTTGCAGTCCCCTGCCTCAGCCTTCCAGGTGCTGGAATTACAGGTGTGCACCACTATGCACTCACCTTCAAGACCCTGTCTTTAAAAAAAAAGTGTAACAATCAGAATTATGAAACAACATGGTTCCATTAGAATAGAAGGCTTTCCATGATCCAGCTTCTGTCTAATAATATTAAACATTTATATAGTGCTTATGAGGGGATGGATATTATTTTGTGGGCTTTATTAGAATAGCTCTGTGTTTGTGTGTGTGTGTGTGTGTGTGCATGCATGTGTGCATGCCTGCACATGCTAGGCAAGTGTACTACCACTGAGCTACTCCCCAGCCCTCATTTAGTCTTAACAACTCAATGAAGTAGAAACTATAATTATTCCTCTTATAAAATGAAAAAAATTGAGATATAAAAAAGTTATGTAACTTGCCCTAGTTCACATAGCCAATAAATGATAGAGTTAGAATTCATGCCCAGGCAGCCTGGCTTCAGAATCTCTGAGTTTAACCACCAGGCTACCTTCCTAAAAACTAAGGGTGTTGAGTTTTAAATGTCAGGCTTCTGGTAAAACCACCTGTGAGAGGTGGAGCCAGAACTCAGACTCAGTCTTTTAACTCTTACGGGTCCAGTGCTCTTTTCATATAACATCAAATGTGATAGGAGTTAAATAATGCCAAAGTGAAGGTTAAATTCCAATCCAAGGCAGTTCTTGCTGAAATTGAAGTGACCATACCCTTAAATTTTGAAAGTTATACAAGAACTCTCACTTTGTACCTTGAGTATACTGGGTGTTACGTGCTGTAGTTTGTTTGTTTGTTTTGAGCAGGGTCTTACCATGTAGTTCAAGCTGGCCTTGAACTCACTATGCAGCCCAGGTTGACCTTGTTGTCGGGATCCTTCTGCCTCAGCTTTGGAGTATTGAGATTATAGAAATGTGCCTCCACACTTGGCTGAGTGCTGTAGTTTAAATATTGATGTGTGATGACCAGGATCAATTATTATTATGGAAAAGGTGCAACAGTATTTGCCAATTTGGTGTTAGATTTTCCTCTGACGGATGTATTAAAATGACCCCATCATTTGTTGTAAATCAAAGAAGAGTAGGGGCGGAGATTTAGCTGAGTGGTTATGGTGCCTGCCTCAGAAGCACAAGGTTCCGAGTTCGATCCTCCCCAAAAAGAAGAGTGCTTTCAGTTTAAATCAGTAAGGATTTATGACCTTTTACTGTGCCTCTGTTCTGTGGTAGCTGCTGTAAAGAGATTCTTTTTAAGTTCAAATATGTTCTTTTACTACCTTGGTTTGAAAAAAGGAATTAATAATTTGGACTGTTTCTGTAATTGGGTTCTGCAAATCCTAGGTTTAGATATAAACTTACATTTGTGTTTATAGTGATATCTTTCACAGTTAGGGATAACGGGAAGACTAGAGCAGATGGCTGAATCATTGGAGGAATCTTAAGTCAATTTTATACTTTTCAGAAGCCTAATATCCTTGTTTCTGCTATTAGTCAATTTTTTAATGTTTTTAAGGAATAAGAATTCCCACATTAGAAATCCACTTGGTAAGCTCTTACTTCTTCACAATGAGTTTGAGCATTATCTTCCTGTAGAACTGTTCTGTTTCCTAGCAAGACCTAGGTGTTTTCTTTGGCCTACACCCAATGTATCTTGGATATATCACTGACATGACACTAATGATAGTACTGTATACTTAATCATTGAATTTGTCTTCTCTTAATAGTGAACAACTCAAGGGCAAGGGCCAAGTTTTTTTTCACTTATATCCCCCCCTACTTTTACTAAGGATGGATCTGAGAGTCTGTGTTGGTCAGAGAATGTGGTAAAGATGTTTATGCTGCAGCAAAGGAGTTTTTCTTACCTTGGTAACTAAAATTGGAAGTGCTGCATCTGATATAATTGGGTTTAGTAATATAAATAAAAATGGGTTAGCACTGTGTCTTTTGATTTTTATTACATCTTTTTCCCTGTTAATTGTTTTCTGTATTTCCAGTTTATAAAAATGGAATTTCAAGCAGTAGTGATGGCAGTTGGTGGGGGATCTCGGATGACAGACCTGACTTCCAGCATTCCCAAACCTTTGCTTCCAGTTGGGAACAAACCTTTAATTTGGTACCCATTGAACCTGCTTGAGCGTGTTGGATTTGAAGGTGAGCTATGACAATGAGATGTGCTCATAAAACTTTTAGGGTGTTTGATCCCAGTAATTTGTAAGCATTATGAGAGTAAAACAGGATGAATGTGAGGGGACTGGCATCTTTAAATTAGCATATAGACTAAATTAGGAACATGGGAGTACTCTGTCACTATGTGAAGATAAGGGTTGATTGAGAAGAAAGGGTTGAGAAGATATTGCTAGTGCTGTTATAAAGCTGATCTCCATAATAATACAAGATGAACTTTATAAGGATATTAGAAACAACAGATTGGGAATCTAAGTGTCTCATAATTGATACTTGCTGAGAATGTACTATGTGCTAGATAATATATTAAGCATGGTATTACAGAATTGAAAAAACAGGTCAGGTCTTGACGTCCAAACCTTAAAGTCTAGTGGGAAGAGTTCTCTAGTTTTTGTTTGAGTGGCTAAACAGATGATGTTGCTATTAAGTAGGAAAAGAAATATGGAACAAGGGAAAGATTTGAATAAAGATAATGAGCTTAGCTTTGGCCCATTGAGTTTGAAGTGTCTTATAGTTAGGTAGAGTAAATGAGAATACCAGCTAGATTTAACAGATGATGGTGCCAGATCCTGGGGCCTAGTGTTCTGATCTAGTGTTCATTCCACTGATAGTTGCCTTCCTGAAACAGACCTATAATCATTTCTGTGCAGTAGTCTAATGATATTGTTGTCAAGAGACATGTTTTTTTATTTTTTTGAGATGGTCTCACTATGAGTTCAGGCTAGCCTTGAACTCATTATTTGGCCCAGGCTGGCCTCAAATTTGCAGCAATCGTCCTGCCTCACCCTCCTGAGTGCTGGGATTATAGATGTGCGCCACCATGCCTGACCAAGATAGATATAGATATAGATATAGATATATAGATATATAGATATGTAGATTTTTTTTGGTACCGGGGATCAAACTCGGGTCCTTGCACTTGCAAGGCAGGCAGTGGAACCACTGAGCTAAATCCCCAGCCCTAAGAGATATATTTTTGAACTTTTCTTTTTAGAGCTTAATCTCACAGGTGAAGGAGATTGTGACATGCCTTAATACACTTTAATATATCTCATTTTGCTTTAGTAATTCTTCATGGATTTGTCATCTGTAACTCCTACTTTTACGATATCTGAAGTTCATACTTGGGAATTGCCTTTTGTGGTATATTTAATATGTACTATATGGAAATTTTTTTCTCACTGGGGCTCACTCAGAATTGGGGGGGCTCCTAAATGTTGGACTCTGAAGTTTAATAGCTAAGCTTGTGTTTTTCATACTTATTGTTGATGGTTTTGTAGGGGAAGTTAGCTTTTGTCTCCTTCTACACAGAAGAATTTTTGGTATTTTGAGATAGGGTCTTGCTATGTAGCCTGAGTTACCCTCAGATTTATGGTAATCTTCATGTCTCAGCTTCCCAAGTCCTGAGATTACAGGTATGTAACACAACACCTGGCTCAGGCAGAAGAATCCTGATCTAGTTAGCACATTGGACTATATTTGCAATTACTGCCTTTACTTTATCTGCTGTACTTACAGTGTCCTCTCCAACCTGTGGAAATCTCACCTTCTCTTCAAAATCCCAAACAGCGTTAATCACTGTGTCCTCTCTGCTTCCATCCTGCTTCATTTCTCTATCTTAGCGCCTCTCAAAGACTGTTTTATACTATAGTTAGTAGCATGAGAGACTGTGATCTTCCTAAGAGCAGGGACTGTACCCAATTAATCTTTGTAATATCAGCATTTTACATATAGTATGTACTAGAGAAATTTTTGTCAAATTCCAGTGCATGCCCTGGTTCTATGAAGTCTTCCTTAGTTAATCATTTCCATGTCTAATATCTCTATGTTATATATCTTGAAAATAGAAACCATATTGAATTCTTTTCTGAATTCTCAGTGATTATTTTTCCTTTATATGTTACATATATTAGTATTTGTTGGATGAATTAGTGACTAAATTAGAGAGAGGAAGGAAGAAGGAAGGAAGGAAGGAATGAAAGTTAAATGATTTGAAAGAGAAAAAGGAAAAAGAGAAGAGAAAGTAGAAAAGAAAAAGTGACTGCAGGGAAAGGGAGGGATAATTGTGATCTGGAGCACAATCATGGAACAAGTGGGAATTCTTAAAGAGATGCTAAAATCAGAATTTAGATTCAGTGACATTATTTCACTGGAGAGCCATGGCAAAACCCCAGGTTTTGTGACTTTAGTTGATGGCTAAATGGATAAGATAAAAATGTTATTGGAAATTTGCTTTGTTTAGGTTCCTTGAGTCCACAGTGAAACAGTAGTTGCTGCTTGATAGGAAAGAGTGATAACCCTTTTGTTCATACTGAGTGAAGACTTAAAATGTGATCCCAGGGCCAGGGATTTAGCTCAGTGGTTCCAGCACCTGCCTTGCAAGCGCAAGATTCCGAGTTTGATCCCCAGTACCAAAAGTAAATAAATAAAATAAAATGTGATCCCATTTGTATGTTTTGTGGAATGGCCTTATGAATTCTTTACATCCACAAAAAAGTGTTGTATAAAGTATTAGTGTAGAGGCTAATTCTATAGACCTGAGTTTTCCTTGTACCATTGATTTACTAGTTGTGTCATCCTGAGTAAAGATAGTGTCTTTTGGTCCAAAATTCATTATTTTAACATCTAATTTATTTATTTTTATTTTTATAACTACATATTTACAGTACATAATAATCACATTTGTCATGGGGAGTTAGTTCATGTACATGATACATCCTAATTCATGTTTTCATCCCTTCCCCTCCTCTGTTTCCTCCCTCCTACTATCTTTCAGTCCCCTTACCTTTGCAAGAGATCTATCTCCCTATTTCCTATTACCTATCTTATTTTGTTCTTTTTGTATATTTCAGGCTTTTCATATAAGAGAAACCATGCACTGTTTAAACTTATACATCTCATTTATTTTACTTAACATTATGGTCTCAAGGTGCATCCATTTTCTAACAAATGACTCAAATTTATCCTTCTTTATGGCCGAGTAATACTCCATTATGTATAAATGCATTTTTATCCATTTTCTTTATCCATTCATCTGTTGATGAACAGCTAGGCCACTTCTGCAGTGATCTGCACAGCGTAGGCTCCGAAGCCAGGGAGAGTGGTGGGAGATGAAGAAAATTGAAGAATAACAAGAAAGATACATACCAAGATTATGCTTGAAAGCTGGGGCCAGGTAGAACCATAAACTGATGGGCTAATGGCCACCTAGAGTCCAGCATGCTCTTTATTTATAGTGTAAGACAAATAACAGACAAGGCAGAGTGACTCGTGTTACATGGCCTACGTGATATAGGCTGAATGCAGCATGATTGTCTCATGTTAGGGGCATGCACAGGAAGGGAACAAGGAAGAAGGATACATAACGTAACTGTCTCCTGGGGCTGTGCCATCCAGGATCTACAATCCAGGGTCTACTATCTAGTCTATGGAGGAGAAAGGGAGTAGGGATAAGGCAAAAGGCCATCTTCAGGCTCAGCCTGCAGCACACTTCTATGATTTAGCTATTATGAGTTGTGCTGCTGTAAACATGAGTTATTTAAACATGTGTGTTGGATTTATTTCACTTAAGAGTATAGTCTCAAGGTGCATCTATTTAACTCTGAATGTCTAGGGCCGGGGATTTAGCTCAGTGGCACCGCACCTGCCTCGCAAGTGAAACATCCTGAGTTCGATCCCCGGTACCAAAAAACAAACAAACTATAAATGTCTCAAGCTCATACTTCTTTATGGCAGAGTAGTAATCCATTGTATAAGAAAAAACCACATCTTCTTTATCCATTCATTGGTTGATGGGCATTTGGGCTGTTTCTAAGATTTAGCTATTACAAATTGTCCTGCTATAAACATGGGTGTGCATATGTCACTGTGGTAGGATGCTTTTAATTCTTTTGGGAAGGTACCAAGAAGGGAATAGCTGGGTCGAATGGAACCTCCAGTTTTAGTTCTTTGAGGAATCTTCACACTGATTTCCACCGTGGTTGCACCAGTCTACACTCCTCTCAACAGTGGAGAAGGGTTCCTTTGGATTTTTTTTTTTTTTTTGGTATCAGGGATCGAACACAGGACCTTGCGCTTTTGGGGCAGGTGCGGTGCCCCTGAGCTAAATCCCTGGTCCAAGAAGGGTTCCTTTCTCCCCACAGCCTCTCTGTCATTTGTTACTGGTTGATTTCTTTTCTTTTTTTGGTACCGGGGGTCGAACTTGGGACCTTGCGCTTGCAACGCAGGCACTGGAACCACTGAGCTACATCCCTGGCACTGGTTGATCTTTTGCTAACAGCCATTCTTTCTGAAGTGAAATGGGATCTCAGCATTGTTTTAATTTGTATCTCTCAAATGACCAGCGATGTTGAACACTTTTTCATACATTTATTTGCTATTTCTAATTCTTCATCTGAAAAGTGTCTTTTCATTGCAGATTCCCATGTTTGGATTGGTTCTTTAAATTTGAGGGGTATTATATTTTTGAGTTCTTTGTATATTCTAGATATTAGTCCTTTGAGGAAGAGCTGGCAAAAATTTTTTCCCACGCCGTGGGTTGTCTTTTCACTCTGTTGGTGGTTTCTCTTGCTGTGCAAAAGCTTTTTAATAAGATGAGATCCCAGTTATTAATTCTTTGTTATAATTCCTGTAGGATTGAGGTTTTGTTATAAAGTCTTTGCCTACACCAATGTCTTCAACAGTTCTACCTAGTCTATCTTCCAGCAGATTAAGTGTTTCTGTTTTACTTTTTAGGTCTTTGATCATTTTGATTTTAGTTTAGTGCATGGTGAAAGATATTGGTCTAGTTTTAATCTTTGGCAAGTAGATAGCCAGTTTTTCCAGCACCATTAATTAAAGAGGCTATCTTTCTTCTAGTGAAAGTGTTTGGCTCCTTTGTCAAAGATAAGGTGGCTGAGTATGTCTGGAGTTGTTTCTGCATCTTCCAGTCTGTTCCACTGATCCTCAGGTCTCTCTCTCTCTTTTTTTTTTTTGCCAGTACCATGCTGTTTTTATCATAGTAGCTTTGTAGTATAATTTCAAGTCAGGAATTGTGATGCCCCTTACCTTGCCTTTGTTGTCCAGAGTTACCTTTAATATTCTAGGTCTCTTCTGGTTCCAAATGAATTTCAGAACTGTTTTTTCTAATTCTGTGAGATATGCTATTGGAATTCTGATATGGATTGCATTAAATTGGTGTAACAATTTTGGAAGTATGGCTATTTTCACTATATTAATTTTTCCTACCCAAGAACAAGGGATATCTTTCCATTTCTGATATCCTCTTCAATCTTTTTCAGAGCACTGTTTTCAATATAGAAGTCTTTTACTTCCTTCATTAGATTGATTCCTAGGTGTTTCATTTTTTGGATGCTGTTGTGAAAGGTGTTATTTCCCTAATTTCTCAATGAGTTTGTTATTTGTGTACAAAAGGCTGTTGATTTCTGAGTGTTGACTTTGTATCCGCCTATACCACTGAATTTGGTTATTAAATCTAGAAGTCTTTCAGTAGAGCTTTTGGGGTCGTCTATGTAGAATATCATGTCATACAAAAATAATGATAATTTAACTTCTTCCTTTCTCATCTTTATTCTTATTTCTTTTTCTTGTCTAATTGCTCTGGCTAATGTTTCCAGAACTATATTGAATAAGAGTGGTGACCGTGGACATCCTCATCTTGTTCCTGATTTTTTGCCTCTTTAGTTCTGTCTTCTTTAAGCTCACTGAGAATGCTATTGATCTTTTTAAAACATCTCTTTTATCATTTTGAATAATTTAGCTATGTGGCTTTTGATTTCTTCCCCCTTGATGTTCCCATGGATGAGCTTTGGGAGAGTTAGGAGTTTTTGGAGGCATTTTGTTACCTTTTCTTACATTTCTATTGTGTGGGGTGTGTGTGTGCATGCGCATACATGCATGCTGAAGGTGCAGGTGCTTATAGTAGAAAGTCTTTGTTACTAGTATGGAGATGTCTTTAGTTAGTGTCTGCTTTTCAATGATGCATTCTGGAAGTGGCTAACTATAGGCTTTTGCCTCTCTCCCATGATCCTACCACCTCCATTAATGGGGGGTTTGCTATGGCTTGTATCTAGATGTCCCCCAAAGCATCGTGTAGTCATAGGTAAGGCTTTTCAGAGGTGACTGGATCTAGTGTGTATGATGCTGGGATCAAGGATGAGATGCTAGGATTAAGGATATGAGTGCTACCTTCCCTAAGAGGGGGTAGCCTGGATAAGATATAAGAGACAGAAAGAGGTTCATTGCTTGTCCCTTGTTGGTTGTTGGCATTCTGCTGTCTACCTTCTCCCTACCCTACATTGTCATGGACTGTTTCTCTGCGATGCCCCTCTGCCATGCCACCCTGCCCTGGAGCCAGCCAACTATGAACTGAAATCTCTACAAACTGTGAGCCAAATAAACATTTCCTCCTTTAACTTTGGGTGTCTGGCATTTTGTCTCAGCAATGAGAATAAGTAACTGAGACAGGGTTGAAGTATAATTGTGCCAGCACCCAGTTCTCTGGGAATGGACTGCAGTATTGTTAATGATACAAAAGCAATCCATATATTGGCATGCAGAGGAAACCCATTAATAGGAACAACTATGCCACCCTGGCAATAGGAACTAAACCAGCAACAATATAAGTGTCAAAAGATGTACTGAATATTGACATACCATAATAATAGTGTACCACCTTTAACCATGGAAAAAAAGAAATCTATAATTATTGTGTAAACACTAAGACAAACCAATATTTATTTATTTTTTGACAAACCATATATTGACATACAGTAAATATCTACTAAATGCAATAATACCTTCACTAACAATCAACAATAATAAATAATGTAATAGCATAGAATTAACTATATAAAGATTAGTAAAGCTTAATGGTTTTACTAGTAAAGATAGAGGTGATGGGGGACAAGAGAATGAAAGAAGAGAAATTTGAAAAATTAAGCAATAGAAGATGAGAAGGAGAGAAGAGTAAGATAAAAGATCCTATTAAGGAGTAAAAGGGAGCCGGGTGTGGTGGTACACGCCTGTAAAGCCAGCACACAGTAACAGAAAAGAACAAGAAAAAGTAGAAAATATAATAATTTATTAAAAGGAAAAAAACCCTAAACCCCAGAAAACCAATGAAGAAAGAAAAAGAAAAGTTAAAAAAAAAATCCTCTATATTTTTAAATGAGTGGTTTCTTTCTAGGGTTTGCAGTTTTGGAATCCAGCAAGTCACAGTTTTCTCCTCTATCTTTATGGCCTGTAGGTCTGTGAGGTGCCTCCTTGTTCTAGAGACCCCCTCTGTCCATTAATCCCAGGCTGTGGCAACTGTCCAAGCTACAGAAGGTTGTTGCTCATGTTGGTAGATGGGAAAGCAGTCAGACCTCTGATCTGGGCTGAATGTAGACAGCAGGGTGAGGGTTCAGCAGCCCACTGGACTTAATGCCAGCACTTTCAGATCCAGCTGCCTCTGAAAGTCACACCCCAGACCTGGCCTCTCACCATGGAAGTCAGGGCCCTGTGTCCTTGCCAGCCTTAGTTTAAACTTCTCAGGGGGTCGGTGTTCAGCCCACTCCTGCTCTGCAACTATCTTTTTTTTTTTTTTTTTTGTACCAGGGATGGAACTCGGGTCCTTGAGTTTACGCAGCAGGCAGTGAAACCACTAAGCTAAATCCCCGGCCCCTGTGCAACTATCTTTTGCCTCTTACCCAGTCACTGTGGGAGGATAATACTGGGAACCCAAACTGAAGTTATTTTGTAGTTGTTCTGTGTCTCAGTCTTAAATAATCAGCCCCTTCCTGAAATGACTCCTGATTAAACACCTTGGCAATATGGCAGATACTGTACTGGATTTCTTCCCTAACTCTATAGCCTGCCTTGTAGAAAGAGTTATTTTAGAGTAAAACCCCACATGGTTTTTACAGTTTATAGCCATGGCTTTTCTTAGGACAAGCCCTGCTGGCCCTGGGGACTTTCTGTCTGTAAAGACAGGTTTCCCTCTTGGGGAGCCAGGATGAGCTTCCAGGCTGTTTTATTTGTTTCTTTGCACCAGTCTCCTTTTCTCCAGCTTCTCCATAGTTTCTAATTTTCCTTGCAATTGCCTCCTGATTCCTAGAGATTTCTTTCTTTTTCTTTTTTCACCAAGCTATTTTCCAGGTGTCTGGATCCTGGGTCCTAGAAAGGCTGCACTTTGCTGCTGATTGCTACTCTACCATTATGGTCTCCCCAGGTTCCTCATTTTAAAGTGAGATTGTTTAAAAATTAATTGAGAGGGGCCAGGGATTTAGCTCAGTGGTTTCACCGCCTGCTGCGCAAGCACAGGATCTGAGTTCAATCCCTGGTACAAAAAAAAAAAAATTAATTGGGAGAATGCATTTAAAACACATTGAAAAGACACAATAATATTAGCCCTTTTTATTACATCTAGAAACAGAACACATCCAATAGAATAGTGAAACTGTTGATTAAATTAATGAATTTTTATGTTTTTCCTTCTCTTTTTTCCCCTCATACTGTAGAAGTCATTGTGATTACAACCAAGGATGTCCAAAAGTCTCTAAGTGCAGAATTCAAGATGAAAATGAAACCAGATATTGTGTGCATTCCTGATGAAGCTGACATGGGAACTGCAGATTCTTTGCGCTACATATATCCAAAACTTAAGGTAAAACACTATTTCTTAATTTTATTGAAGATAAATAATATCTTGTTTTCCCAGTACATTACAATGTATAAATGTTTTTAAAATATATTTTTATGGCATGGGGGCACATGCCTGTAACCAACCCAGCACTCAGGAGCCTGAGGCAGGAGAATTGTCATGAGTTTGAGGTCAGCCTGGACTACATAGTGAGTTCGAGGCCAGACTGAACTACATAGCAAAACCCTGTCTCAAGAGACAAGAAAACAATTTTTTTTTAACACATATGTTGTTGCCTGTGTACTCTTAAGCTGCTTTTTGGTTTGGTTATTAGTAAAGATTTAGACATTCAGTTGTCACAGCCCAAGTAATAATACATCTGTCTTTATATATATATATATATATATATATAAAAAGATAGGGCTATAAATACAACTCAGTGTTAGAGCTCTTGATCAGCACATGGAAGGACCCAGTTCACTCCCTAGCACTGGGAAAAAACAAAGAAAGAAAAAAGAAGAGAAGATATACTTCAAAAGATTCCATTCATATGAAATTCATGAACAAAGAAAAATATATAGTGATGGAAATCAGAACAGCTGTTGACTCTGCAAGTGGGAAATTGACTAGAAAGAAGCAAAAAGGAACTTTAAAAAATTCTACAGATTAGACTAGGGATGTAGTTCAGTGGCTCCATGCCTGCCTGGCAAGTGCAAGGTCCTAAGTTTGATCCCCAGTACTAGAAAAAAAAAATTCTACAGATCTCCCATATGATAATATTTAAATTTTTAGAGGCTGTGTACAGAACAGTCTTCCCATTGGTTTGTGACCCATAAGCTGAGAAATACCTATGTAGATAGTTCTTAAATTGATGTCCTTTGGGAAAAATTGTTTCTGTGATGTTTCTGTATTGTGTGAATTAGGGGACTGTCTTTCTCCTGCTATGTCTGGTTATTGCAAACAGATACTAATATTTTCAACTTACCTTAGTACTAAAGAACATGGAGTTAATAATTTGCACAAAGCAAAATATACAGATATTAAGTGTACAGTTCAATGAATTTTGACAAATATATACACCTCAGTTACCATTACCTAAATCTAGAACAATTCCTTCAACCCTAATAGTTCCTTTGTGCTTCTTTCTAGTCAGCTGAGTGCTGGTCTGTTTGTGCTGTCACGATGTATTAATTTTGCTTGCTCATGAGCTTCATATAAATGGAATCATACAATTTTGTTCTGGATTATGTTCAACATATTATTTTTCAGATTCATTCACATTATTGAAGGTATAATTCTTTTTTATTGCTGAGTAGTATTCCATTGAATGAATGTACATTCTTTGTTCTGTTGACAGTCATTTGGGTTATTTCTAATTTGAGCTATTATGAATAAAATTATTATGAACATTGTTCTGCAAGTCTTCTGCAAAAATATTTTAGGTTACAGGGTTTACTTTCTTAAAAACTATCAGTTTTTCAAAGTGATTTTTCTGTTTTATACTTTCATTAGCAATATATAAGAGTAGCACTTACTTCACTTCTTCATCAACAATTGGTATTTGTCAACATTTTTACTTCAACCATTCCTAGTGCATGTGAATGCACTGTTTATTTCATTGTAGTTTTAATTTACATATCCCTGGTAGCTATGATGCTGACTATCATTTTATGTGCTTGTTGATCATGAAGTGATCAACAGGCACATGAAGTGATCAACAAGCACATAAAGTATCTTCATGAAGTGTCTGTCCAAAGAATTTTTTGTTTGCCTTTTTGTTATTATTTATAGGAATCCTTTAATTTTTTATTTTGTTTATTTATTTATTGAGACAGGGTCTCACTATAGTTTAGGCTCACCTTGAACTTACTACCATATGTATTGCATGCTGGCCTCAAACTCGCAGTGATCCTCCTGCCTCAGCCTCCTGAGTACTTGCATTATTGGCATTCACCACACCTGGCTATAGGAATCCTTTATATAATCTAGTTGCAAATCTTTTTTTTTTTTTTCTTTTTTTTGAGACAAGGTCTCATTATGTAGTTCAGGCTGGCCTTGAACTCGAGGCAATCTAGCAATCCTCCTGCCTCAGCCTCTCAAGTGCTGGAATAACAGGCATGTGCCACCATGTCCAGCCTGACTTCACTTTCTTAATAGTTTCGTCTGATGACCAGAAGTTTTAAATGTTCATGAAATCCAAATTGCTGATTTTTTTCTTTTATGACTACTGTATTGCCTTTTCTTTCCTATGAAATCCTTGGTTATGTAAAGTTTGTGAAGATTTCTTTTGTTTGTTTGTTTTGAGACAAGGTCTTGTTACATTCTTCAGGATTGCCTTGAACTGCCTCAGAACTTGCCCAGACTGGCCTCAAACTTGCAGTGATCCTCCTGTCTCAGCTTCTTGAGTGCTGAGATTACAGACATGTGCCACTACACCCAACTCAAGTTATTTTTTTACTTTATTTCTAAAAATGTTATAAATTTAGCTTTTACATTTATAAATATGACCTTTCTTGATTCATTTTTTTATGATGTAAGGTAGACATAAAAGTTAACCTTTTTTAGGGCCAGGGATTTAGCTCAGTGGTTCTGGTGTCTGCCTCGCAAGCACAAGGTCTCGAGTTCAATCCCCCGTACCACCCCCCCAAAAAAGTTAACCTTTTTTATGTCAGCAACATTTGTTTTAAAGATTTTCTTCCATTGAATTGCACTTGTGTCTTAGTTGAAAATCAGTAGCCATATATGTGTGGTCTATTTCTATCCTGTTTGGCTCCACAGGTCTACTATATTTATCTTTACAATACCACACTGTCTTAATTATTTCAGCTTTATAGAATGTCATGAAATCAGGTAGTCTAAATCTACCAACTTTGTTTTCTTTTTTCTTTCTTTCTTTCTTTCTTTCTTCTTCTTCTTCTTATTTTTTTTTGTGGTGCTAGGAATTGAACCTGTAGCCTTATGTCTAGAAGCCAAGTGCTATACCACTGATCTATAAAGTTTTATTTTGAGACTGGTTCTGGCTAAGTTGGCCAGGCTGGCCTTCAACTTGTGATTTGCCTGCTTCGAGCAGCTGATATTAATAGGCATGTGCCACCACACCTGGCTTGTTTTCATTTCTTTCTTAGATTATCCTGACATCTATTTCATGTAAATTTTAGAATCAGCTTGATGCTTTCTACAAAAAAGCTTTCTGGGATTTTGATTGGAAGTGCTAGAATGTATAGATTAATGTATGGAGATCTGACATCTTGAATCTTCCAATCCTTGTATATGTATATATATGCTCCCCTGTTGCCAGGACACAGTACCTGACACCTACAGCTTAAAGGAGAAGTTTAATTTGGCAGAAACATCATGGCAGAAGGGCATGGCAGAATAAAGCTTCACATTGGCTGGGAAGCAGAACAAGGGAACAGCACCAGCAGGGAATGGGTGAGGGATCAGATAACAGACCCTGAAGTACTATCTATCTCCATGACCCACCCAGACACCCCAGAAGTGTGCATGGTGGTACTAGGGATTGAATACAGCAAGTCCTGAGCTACACCTTGTGCCCTTTTTAAAATTTTTTTTTTTTTTTGGTACCGGGGATCAAACTCGGATCCTTCGGCTTGCAAGGCAGGCGGCGGAACCACTGAGCTAAATCTCCGGGTCCCCTTTTTAAAATTTTTGAGCCAGGAATTTAGCTCAGTGGTTCCAGTGTCTGCCTCACAAGCGCAAGGTCCCGAGTTTGATCCCTGGTACCAAAAAAAACCCAAAACAAAACAAAAAATAAAATAAAATTTTTGAGATAGGGACTTGCTAAGTTGCCTAGACTGATGTCAAACTTGATGTCTCTTCTCAGCCTCCTTATTTAGCTGGAATTACAGGCTAGCACCACCACATGCTATCTATATATCTGTCTATTTTAAGCTCCCTTCAACAGCATTTTATAATTTTTGGTATGGAGAGTTTGAACATGTCTTGGTAAATTTATTCATAGATCAGCATTTTTAGTGATGATGTAACTGGTATTTTTATTCCATTTAAAAATTATTGTTTATATATAGAAATACTTTTTTTGTGTGTTGACCTTATATCCCATAACTTTGTTAAATTATAGATTCCTTTAGGATTTTCTATGTATGCCATCATTTGCCTGCAAATAAAAATTGTATTGTCTTCCTTTTTCATCTTTTTTGCTTTTTTTTTTCCCATTGCCCTGACCAGGTCAAGGTATATAGGCATTTTCATTTACGTTTTTTGGGGGGGCAGGTGGTACTAGGGATTGAACCCAGAACCTCAACGCTAAGCTATATCCTGGCCCTTTTTAAATTTTTAAGACAGGAGGGCCGGGGATTTAGCTCAGTGGTTCTGCAGCCTGCCTTGCAAGCGCAAGGTCCCGAGTTCAATCCCTGGTACCAAAAAACAAAAACATTAAAAAAATTTTTTAAGACAGGCTCTCACCAAGTCACTAAATTGCCCAGGCTGGACTTGAATTTGTAGTCCTTTTGCCTCAGCTGCCCAGAGTGCTGAAATTATAGGTATGTACCACCAAATCCAGGTTCCATTCACTTTTTGACCTCCCTTTTTGCCTTTGTGTGTTTCTACCCAAGTGAGATTTGGTGTTTCTGATTAGAGTGAAGACTTGTAATACTGTAATTTGGATGTGTTACTTTCTGAAATATAGCTGCTTATTTATTTTGAGAAGATATGAGGAATCTCACTGAGGTAATAAGGCGAGAATTCTGTTCTTTCACAGGGACCGATTTGAAGTTTACTAAGGAGCTTAGTATGATTTTCAATTTTTAAAAAATTATGGTAAAATATACATAACAAATGTTATCATCTTAGCTATTTTAAAGTGTATAGTTCAGTGGTATTAAATAAATTCATAATGTTGTACAGCTATCACCACCATCCATCTCTATAACTTTATCTTATAAAATTAAACTTCTGTGCCTACTAAACAGTAACTTCCCCCTTTCTGCAACCCCTGGCACCTGCCATTCTAGTTTCAGTGATTTTTGACTTTTCTACTTCAT